ACATCAAATCTTTTAAGAAACAAAATTGCATAAGTCTTTCTAATTTTCTTAGTAAACAAAACGAAAAACAAAACGTAGATGCGAACCTTAACAATGATGTTGTCGAAATGGACAATTTCTCCTCAAATCAAAACATTGAAAGATTATATAATCTCTCGTCTACTATTTATTCACCAATCTCACTACACTTTCCTGCAATACTGATCCATTATCAAATGCTTCAATTCATTCCTATATAAACACAAACAATTTCATCAACTAATCTTCACCTCTTTTATCATGTAATCGTTGTAATTCAGTTATCAGTTCAGGTTTAGCTAACGTCATGTCGCATAGATCATGTTCGCCGATCGTCTGCTTGGAATGTCTACCCAATACGTTCATTCCAAATGAAACAAATTTTCCGTGTGAGTGTTGTTACCTCCAAGGCGGGCTTACTTGTACTCAACTTTGATATTTTATTTCTTGTTTATTCTTTTAATTCACAATTTTTATCTAGGCTCGTATTTATAAGTGGTTAACAGTTTATTCGTGGTTTTATTGTCGAACGTCTATGTCTGCCAAAAGCGATGAAACTAGAATATAATTTGATAAATATTTCAAAATCGAACTAATATGTTCACTCTTTATTCATGAGTAATCTTGGCTATGAAAATTCTGCATTTACATAATTAATGGAAATCCTTCTATCTGATAGGTCTCGACGTGATAAATCTTTTTCTATCAAAAACACCTCAAGATATCGTACAGATCTCTTAAAAGTTGCATTATGTCTAGTCCGGCTAAAATAACTGGAATAATTGATTTACCCCATAGGAGGTAAATCAACGAAAATTTTTTTTTTGAGTGCTCTCGGCAATTTAATTTGTGTGTATTTGCTTTTTAACTAGAATAATTGAAATTACTTTGAAAATGTAGAGAAATGTTTAGGCTTTCAAACGATCTAAAAACTTTCGAACTTGTATTTACAGAGTCTTTAAAAATAACGTTTTTTATAACTTAAGTAAAACTAGACAAAATTAGCTATAGTAATTGATTTACCCCAAACAGAGGTAAATCAAAGATTGAAGAAGTGGTCTTCTGAAAACCGGTGTAGATCCGCTCCTAAAAAGTATTTTGAAAAACTAAAAACATAGTCTTATAGAGCTTTTTCTGCTCTACATAGTTGATAGCGAAAATTTTTTTATCCGATAAAAATAGAAAAGTTATAAGAGAAAAAAGAAGACACTACAGAAAACCTAATGGATTTACCCCACCTTACTCTGTAATTAAAGAGAAATGATGAATGGCAGCTGCAATGACAGTATCAAATAAATCTTCTCTTATTAATTCATCACAACATTCATCACCAGTAATTAATCCAATAGAATCATTTTCTCTAACTTCATCCTCAACAGCACTTTCACCTGAATCATCCAATTCAATGTCATCACCAGATAAATCATTTGTATTAAATGAACACCACCACCAACAACAATCAATTCGTCTTGTTGATTATTTTGTGGTTTGTGGATTAGATAAATATCTTGATATTGAACCTTTATCCGAATTACCTGGTAAAAAACTAAAAAAAAAATTCTATTGTTTTTTATTTATTTAATGAAATTAAAAAAAAATGTTTCAGTAGGTGAACAAGTTTTAAATCCATTTGATGAAGATGCGATTAGTCGTGTAAGAATTTTAATTTCAGAAAATATTTTTAATATTTTTTTTTTCTAAACAAATAGTCGTCAATGCCAGATGGTGTTTCTATTCGACTAAATTCTCCTGATCCCCGAACAACACATCCTTTTTTAATAACACGTCTTGATGGAACATGTTATTATGGTGTTACATTAACATTTTTTGAACAAATAAATAATGATGATGAAAATATTTCT